ATGATATCGCGCTAGCAACCGAACATACCGACTTGCAAAAGCTAAGCTGCATACTCATGGCTGACCTCACTATTCTGACGAAATATTTTCACCAGTACCAGTAGAAACTATACCCAAACCCGGCGAAGAATAGCGCGACGGTATTCCGTATGAACAGCTGACTAATCAAAGAGAAACTGAGTTGTCAACATGTGCAGCACGAAACAACGCCAAAATATCTGAGCGGAACTCTTGATCTGATCCTCACGTCTAAACCACATCTGAAAAAGACACAACAGAAGATCAAGACAAGAATGAATCTATTAAGAAAACTTGCCGGCACCTCTTGGGTAGCAGGTCCCGCGAGCTGCGTACTACGACCCTGGCGCTCGTGCATTCTGTCACGGAGTATTGTCCCCATGTTTGGTGCCACAGCTGCCACAAAAGCAAATTAGACATGTAGCTTATAAAGCGATGTGAATAGTAAAAGGAACCCGTGAAGCCAACCCAACACAATGGTTACCGATTCTGACTCATATTGAACTCCATCATCTCCGGAGGGACGAGCAGGCATTTCGCGCTTTCCAGAACATCCAATCAGTTTCTCCTCCATCGTGTCCCCCAACAGAAACTAGCACGACGACAGATATCACGCCACCCATCATGGGAACGAGCGACGCCGCCGCGTCTGAGTCTCGAAGAATAGTGGCGAGCAGAATGAGACGGTACAGTTGTCCATAACAGACTTAATCTCCAACTCGACCACAGAAACCCTGGCATGGACTTGAATCGTCAAAAATGGGCGAGACTAAGCAGGATTCGAATGGTAGAGGGCGCTGTAGAAAATTACTCCATCGTTGGAAGATGAAGTCCATTCCACAGTGTGACTGTGTCCATGAAGATTCGACCGTAATAACTGATGTCCAAAATGCTACCACGCGGCCATTCCCTGGATTACAAATCTTAACGTTGAGCTATAAAGTTGTTGGTCATCTCTCCCAGACATACGATAGAAGAATGTAGTTTT